CCCCCCCCCCCCCCCTTGAGATACTTTTTTAAATTGAGGTTAATAGAGTAAATTAAGGAAATGTATACATGTTACTATTTTAATACATTTTTTTTTGTCTTAGAACATAGTTCACTGAGCACATGCACTAATTTGTGGTGAAGGACTTGTGATGAATTTCATATGTTTTTTTAGGTTTTATTTGCATACCGTTAGCTTAATTATTTTTTTTGTTTACAGTTTAGATCAAAATTCTTCTGCTGGGTATTTTTCATCCCAAAAGAAGAAGCCCCAAAGGAATCAGTCGCTGCTGATTCGTCAAAATCTTGCTGGGCTCTGTCAAATTTGTGCATATTTTTTATCAGTCTGGAAATTTGATGCAGACTTCGTGAGTCTCAAACTCGGTGTCGATGGATACAGAAATTCGCCAGAAGAGCGGGGCACAGTTGCTGCAATATGCACCGTTTAGCAGTTGCGTGGACCCTCGGTTCTGGTACAAACTGTCGCAATTGAAGCTAGAAAAGTACAAATTGAGCGAGGAGTCTGTGAATATCGATGGGTTCTTTTCAAACGTTTCCACTCTTGGAATGGGCCTCCGAGTTTCCGTCGATGAATCGTCGTTTGAAAGGTGAGTCGAAAAGCTCCCTGAAGTTCCTTTATTATGAATAATTGGCCATTTGTTCCTTAATCAATCAATGAAATAGTAGCTGTGGTGGAAAAGTCAACTTTGCCTGTGTTCAGTATTATCTCAAGTCCTTGTCTGTATCTAACAGGAATTCAGGGATCGGCCATAATCTCTTACCTATGCGAGGGACCCTAATGAACAAGAACACATTGGACGGTTTTCGGGATTTGGACAAGAAAGCTCTTCTGCAAGAAGTGGGGAAGGAATTGTGGAAGCAGATTCAGAATGGCCAGGCTCTCGAGAATCCTACCATACTCAACTCCTTTCTTCTCCTCACCTTTGCTGTAGGCCAAGTTCCTCCATAAGTATCAAACAGATTAGTATAATTTCTTCAATACATTAGTTTTGTTAAACTCTGGGTTGATAGTGGTAATCTCCATGGAGCAAAAATGGACTTCCTGGCAGAATTGGTGTTCTGGACTTTGGAGAGGTATTCAATATGATTCCTGCTGAAGTTTGTTTCCATTGGTAAATTTCATAGGGTGGTGGTTATTTCACTATCATTTCAACTGACTGTCATAGTTTGAAAATTCATTGTTTTTATTTTTGGGGGTTATTTTCCATTTTTATTTTCCATTTCTGACAATTTTGCAAGTTGACTGACATTCAAACAACAGCTTCATAATTTCAATTGACAAAATGCAGATCAGCCCAGGGCCGATTCTAACAAGTGCTTTATCTGGTATAAATAATTTCGAACTTGGAGTCATTCAAAGACAAGATTTTCAGTTCCTTCAAAAGGAGTCATGTGGAGGGTAGCAGAACTCCAAGGCAATTCCAGTAGAAATACCGAGAGGCTCTCAGCCTTGGCAGAGACAATCTTTGTTTTGAATTTCAAGCATTTCATCCCGTTTTATCCATTTTCATGGAACAGACCTATCAGTGTCAGCATTTTCATCAGCCATTATCAGTCCACTGTTGGGTGATGGCCTTTCCAGTCTGGTGTTTCCTGATCGTGTGCTTTTCTGCTCCCTGTTGCACTGGCTGACTTGACTATTCCGACTCATCGTCACAACTTTGTTCTTTCCCTGCTTCTTGTTGTTCCTTGGGTACCATTCAGTGGTTGTATTGGTCCATCTACCATCTAGTCTTCGAGCAAGATGTCTTGCCTGTTCCCATTTCTCACTCTTAATTCTTAATCTTCACATTGGTGTCTTCTAACTGGGTCTGTTCTCTTCTGGTCGTTGTAGGTCTTTCTATTACTTGTTGTGCATGTTGACTAATACTCTGGATGATTTGTGCATATTTTTGCTCATATGATGATCAGAGTGCTGGTTTTTAGTAGGTTGAGAGCAGTCCTACTAGAGTATTTGCTTAAAATTACTCAAGTTGTCAATGATCATTTCTTGTTTTAGTCAAGTTTTTGGCTTGTTGATCTGATTATCATGAAATTGAGATTGGATCAATCTCTTGCCTCACTAATATTTGTTTTTCTTTGCACTAGGACCTGAAGAAGTACCGTTTCTACTTCTGGTTTGCTTTCCCTGCATTGTTACACCCATCTACACCTGTGTACGCATCATCCATTCATGACATTGCTGAAGAAATGAACCCAAAGCAGGTGAGTTTCAAGCCTCAATTATTTTCCATTTTTACCAGCTCTGGGTGAAATGCAGAATTTGATATTTTACTGATCAAAGTAGCTGAAGCCTCTTCTTCCACGTTCTTTCTTGCTGAATACTAGGAACATTAATTCTGCTCCATAGTGATTAATTTTAGGGCCATTCAACTGAAAGCAACAAAGCTTGCTCCAAAAATGAAGTGGATGATGCATCTTCATCTTCTTATGTACACTTTAGTAACACTGAAAATGTGTTTGGTATCATTGCTTTTGGAAGATTATATGCACTGTAACTTGATGGAATAAAAAAAACTGACAAGCAAAGCAACAGAGGCCTGTGATGCCATATTTTGTGCAGGTGTGTATGTAACTATTTTTTATTTTACTATAGGTTGCTTCATTGGGGGATGCTTATTCAAATATCCCTGCAGAATCCCCATCTAAGCAGTTCTTCATAGTGACATTACTAAATGACAACTGTGATATTGCCAGCTTGGCAACATTTAACGAAAAAGTTGAGGAATGGAGAAGGAACTCTGCCACAAAGTTTTATCTGGGATTTGCTGATCCATCCCAATTGGAGGCGAATCCCGGATGGTCTTTGAGGAACTTCATTGCCCTCATTCATCATCTCTGGTTTGTATGAGGCCGTTCCTCTTTGCCTGCCTTAGGGATTGAAGGTACGTCTCATCGTCTGTATGCATCCCTTAGGTATCCAGACTTAGGGGATGAAGTGAAAGTCCTCTGTCTCCGTATGGAATATGGAAAAGGGGGCTCAAATGTGGCAAAGAGCATTTGTGTGACAGTGCAACTCTCAAGCCTTTTGGCAGAGACACCAGACTTCCCAGGGACTATAGGCTGGGAGAAGAACCTCAAAGGAAACATGGGACCTCGAATGGCCGATCTCAGCTCTTCCCTTGATCCAATTAGGTGCAGAACCAGCTTTGAGATTGTTATCTTACCGTTCTTCATGGACTTCTTTATTATCATCTTTATGGATTGTGTTGAGATAGGTGTTTTTGAAGAATTATGAACTGATTACTGATTCCTGAAGTGTAAAAGTTATGCTTTCAGTTTCTTTGGGAAGAAATGCCATTGCAATCAGATCACATTGAGTTCTTGCATGAACTTTTGAAAATTTTGCATAATGAGACATCATGACTTCTTTTGACGTTACTTTATATGTTTATGTTGTTGGCTATGTAGGCATAGATGAGAAATCCATTGAGGAATGCAATTTTCTTTTGAATCAATTAGAATCAAAAGGGGAAGAAAATTGCAAGAAATGCAAAAATAGATAAAGAAAGGGAATTAGAAATTAAGTGCAAATTTGTCCAGAGACCTTGAGCCCAAGACTACACAAAGCAGAAACTACTTGTAATTCATTATTATCATGCACGAGTAGTACTTTTCAACACAGGACTGTGAAGACAGGAGGTGGAACATTATGTTACTTTTACAGGTTGGCAGAATCAGCAGTAAGCCTGAATCTGCAGTTGATGAGGTGGAGATTAGTTCCATCATTAGACCTGGAGAAGGTTGAACAGACTCGATGTCTGCTCCTTGGGGCTGGCACCTTGGGATGCAACATTGCTCGATGTCTCTTGGTGAGACCTTTTCCTCTCTTGCTTTGCATTGCTTTAAGCCCATTTACTATCTTGAGTTAATTGAGAGAGTCCTTGAACTTCTCAAATGAATATTTTCCTATCATCTTTTGTGGAGGCATGACCCTTTTTGCTTGGCAGTCAGGATGGGGCAATAAAAGTGAGAAGTAGGATACCATAGCTTCCAGTCTTCAGGAAACAGGTTATCCTGGAAAGGAAGCAACTCATGATCTCAAAGACTTCATCTTTGTTCCTTTATCTGTTTACAAAAAGAAGAGTGATGCTCCTGTTATTGGTTTATGTCCTGTATGATCAATGGACAGTATTGCAGTAGGCCTATTTGATCCACACATCTATACTTCATGTCATGATCGGACATTGGATAAAGAAGAACTGTCTATTTGGAACAGGGCTGGGGTGTGCGTGAGATAACATTTGTCGACAGTGGGAAGATTTCCTTCTCGAACCCAGTTCGGCAGAGTCTGTTCGTGCATGAGGATTGCCTGGAAGGAGGAAAGAACAAGGCAGAAGCAGCTGCTCGTGCTCTTCAACTCATCTTCCCTCCTGTTGTGAGTCTTTGGACCTTCTTTTGTAACCTCTTTACAAATGATATGCTATGCACAACACAGGATCCTGAATGTGATCAGTTTCTGGGCAAAATATAATTTTACTGGCTTAAGAACTCCCTTGAGAGGGAAAGTGCACTTCTTAATTAATGATGTCTCTCTTGCACATAATTCTCATACTTGTTTTTGTTCACTTATAAGGCAAGGTTGAAGTAAAATCAGTCAGTCCCTTGATCAGAGTTATGGTTTATGAGGCATGCTTTTATGCCATTTTGTTTTTGGCATTACATATATAATGTTATGGCATGTATGAAACTGTCTGATTCAAAATTATGCTTAATAGATTTCAAATACTGGAATGAAGTATCTGATGTAAAATATTGGCTAAGCATTAATGAGAAATGGCAGAATGAGGAAACCCCTATATCCACTTAGTATTTTTTGGTTTGAATGGGTTGAATAAGTCTCTTATGCTTTATTCACCCACAACTATATCCATTAATTTCCTTTATTCAGGTTAACAGGTCCTTATCTTAAGTGACAAAGCAATTGGGCTTGATGTTGAAATAGAGAAGCCGGGGAGAAGCATTGCACATCCCAATGCCAGGTCATCCGGTGAGCAAGGCAGAAGAGGAATCTCTGAAGTCGGCTGTAGCTCGCCTCGAAGAACTCGTAGCCAGCCACGATGTGGTTTTCCTTGTGATGGACTCCAGAGAGAGCAGGTGGTTGCCCACCCTCCTTGGGGCAGTGCATCAAAAGCTGGTCATTACAGCTGCTCTGGGCTTTGACTCCTTCCTCGTAATGCGACACGGGCTGAAGACTTGCTCCGTTGACCCTGGAGGTGACAGCCCACCTCTAGCTTGCTATTTCTGTGGGGATGTTGTTGCCCCTGGCAATGTGAGTCCTTCCTATTTCTCATAAAAAGTCTTGTTCTGCAATATCTTATCTCCTTCTATCACCCAAAAAAATTATATGTACTTTTACTGGGCTCCTATTCCAGTCAGCATCACCCATGTCTAACAATAGAGAGCAGAATTTTCTCTTTGGTACATGCATTTGGCTCTAAAGCACACAGAGGATACCTTATTCTTGAATTTCCTATATATACATCATATCTCCCAGTGCAAGAGTATGAGAAAAGAGGGGAACAATAACATTGAGACTGCACCTTTAATTATGCTCTCCAGTGAATTGCTTCATTCACCAAAGATGAAACATGCACTCTGTTGGATTTCATGGGATACTCCACCTCCTGATTTCAATGGCACATACATTTGAGTGGCTGATTAACAAGTTTGATGGCATTACAGGGTCATTCTTTGCTAAGACATACAATTTCTTGGTAATTTGTGTTTGGCATCTCCATTATATCCATGTAAAAATTTGTGGTGGTCAGGGTGCATGAGGAACCCTGAAGGGACTAGCTGGACACTATCTGATGATGGGGAAGCCATTACCAACTGTTGGAAAAATTGTAGTGCAAATATATCTGATTTGCCTAACTCCATCTAGGTTTAATGTCTTCTGACAGGTTAATTGAGTTTCACCACTTCATGATGATGCATTTAGTGCAGACAGGACTAATGTAAAGTCTCAAGCAGGGTTGTAAGTCTAGATGGTGAATTTATGACCAGAAAATTCTCAATGATATACTGGAAAGCCTAAGAAATTAATGAAAAACGATGGCTAGGATCATCAGATTTTATTTATATCCAAGAAAATGAGGTGTAGTTCTGTACTCCATATCAATTAACCTCAGTTTGATGAATTTATGAAGGTTGTGGGAATTCTTTCTTGATGTTGTTGATTTAGTCTATGAAAGCGAGGACTCTGGATCAGCAGTGTACAGTGACAAGACCTGGGATCTCCATGATAGCTGCTGCTTATGCAGCTGAATTGGCTGTGTCTGTCATCCAGCATCCTCTTGGGTGAGTTCTGCTCATTCCTCCCTCAGACACTGATGACCTCCAGACTGTTGGAAATTGATATTGAAGTGAAGAGAGAAATGTATGCTGTAATTGGTTATTTCTTGCCTTGTTTTTCCATTTTTTTATGCAGTGGACATTGCTCTATGTGCAGTCTCCCACAGGGTGACTGAGAATGGACATCGAGTCTGACTCCTTTCTCTCTTCAGTCTCATGTTTTTTCATGTTTTGAAAAGCAAGAGTGATGGAGATATTAATATTGAAGGTTTGAAAGTGTCACAGAATAAATTTCCTCTTCTCAGTCACCCTTATTTAGCTTGATAAGGATAGGTTTGCTGTGAGCAACATCATGCAAAAGGGTGTTCTTACAGGGGTGGAGCTCCTGGTATATCATTAGAGAAGTTTGGGGAAGAAGACGTGGGAAATGAAAGAGAGGCCGATTGTGTCTTGGGAAAAGTGCCTCACATGATTCGGGGCTTCCTTTCTGCCTGGCACCAACTTGGTCCTGCCACTCCTGCCTTCTCACAATGCACAGCCTGTTCAGAAAAGGTACCAGTACAGATCTCCCCCATCCACTCGTCTGTCCATGACCCTGATCTATGAGCTCTCTTGCCCAGGTCATTGAGGCTTACAAAAGTGAAGGCCTTGAGTTCCTGTTGAAAGTGTTTGAGTCGTCTGCATACCTGGAAGAATTGACTGGCCTTAAGAAGCTCCAGGAAGAGAGCTTTGATGCTGAGGTAGGCCTACACCACTCTCCTTGCCCTCCCCTCTATAGCTTTTCATGATTTCTCTCTGATTCCTATATGGTAGAGACATCTTTCAGATAGTGTACATAGACTGTAACAGTGGATATTTCATTGGTTAGCAGTCCAAAAGCCAGTCACTATCAGTGAAATCATAAAAATTTCTTTTCAACTCTTAGAATGAAAAAGCCCTTAAGATTCTTTATTGGTTGAAACATAATAATTATGAAATCTAGGGTATTTTTTTAAATGAGCAATGATGTATCTATTTGAATCCATTTTTAACCATGTCACTGGAAAGAGAGTATATTCATTCATGGAGAAATGTGATTGTGCTCATTCTTTCGTTGGGTAGTGTTTGAGGTATAAATTATTTGAAATATGAAATTATCTTTTTTGTTATTTAAACATTTCTGCTGAAGTATTTTGTATCTGTATATCGTATATAGTTCACTACTTCTTGCAAAGGAGACTTGTTTCATATAAGTCTTCAAATACAAAGCACTTGAAATTCCATTGCCATAATTTTCCATCTCATTTGAAAGAAGTTGAGGGAATGACTGTTTTGAACTTTCAAGCAGGTTTGGGTGATGGACGATACTGATGACGATGAAACCGAGGATCATGACGATCTCAGGGGTTCTGTTGAGGATGCTGCATCCTCATGACTTTCTACCATACCAGGATTTGCTACATCTGTGATCTGTGAAGACCTTGATGGGATAATATGGATCTAAAGTATCCCATATCATTCCTTTTCCTTCTTTCCTATTGATTGCCAAAATAATTACAACAATCAAGTGTTTTGACATGATTCTTCATTTATATTTCTAGTCAATTTACAGGAATATATTAATTGAAAGTTCCTCTTTCCTTCAGATGCCATTTTAAATAAGAATCCACTCATGAGAATTTCAGGACTCATTCATTATGAACTCAACCTTCAATGTCTTTTGGATCATATCCTGTACTGTATTTTCTGCATCTGAATCGCATGAGGTCTTTGCAATAAGTGCAAAAATATTATCACTCATATCAGTATTATCATTCCATTATCAGAGGTGCCAATATGCATGTACTGATTTGATTCATTCTAATTTGGACGTAGAGACTGTAATTGTTGAATCCTACTGCATACAAAAATTTGAATTATTTGAGATAGTTGAGCATAGAGCATTGGCAGTGTAAACATGTGAATTTTCTGGGTGTAAAGATTATATGGAACATCTCCAGCACTTGTCTGTATCATGGACAAAGAACAAATACATATAAACATTTCCTGTTGACAGGGTGGTTTTCCTTTCTCAGAAGGAATTTTCCTATGGTTTGAGAAGATCCTCTCAATTTTTCCATGCTCATTCATCACCAGGGATTACAGGGCTAGTGATGCCCGCAGATTGAACCTTAAAAGTGCTAATTTGGGAGTTTTTTTGGTCAGCTAAATACTTCATAGGAGTACTATGAGCACCTTAGTCACCCTCAAATGACAATTCTAAGCAAGATTATTTGAAAGGGGGTGTCCCACCAACTTCAACATGTAAGAAAAAATTTCTAGGATGTTAGTTGAACTTTGCCTGAAACATCATGGTTTCAACTGCTTCCTACCATTCCAGGACTAAACCAGTTTGTAAGAGGAATCCATGGAATGAATTATGAAAGACTGAGTAAAAATTTTTTTTTTTAAGTGGCAAGAAAAAGCATTGCATCTTCTAAGTGTTTTTCTCATCCTCGTTGATGATGAAGTGCAGGACCTCCAAGATGAGGCGAATTCTGATGCTTGTCAAGGAGCTATTTGGAGTTACATGGCATGGCTCACCAGTCTTCTGGAGAGCTATCAGCTGTTAAATATATCAAAAGCATCATTAACTGAGGAGCAATGAAGAACCAAATGGAATGAATTTTTCAATTTTTCTCTGTCACCACCTCCAATCAAGTACTGCCCAGTATTTCATGGATGACAATTTCATGAAGGCAAAAATTGAATCTGATCAATTTGACACTTGGTAAATGTTACACCCTGTCATAATTTCTCTATGCATCATTTCAAAGATGCACCACCATTAGCAATATCCCATAACACTAAATGTAGCACAAAGTATACATGTCTAAGATGGGTTATCTCTTAATTTAAATGAGTGAGCTGCAGGATTTCCTCTTCTGATGAGCCTTCACCACGAGACACTAGGTTTTCTTAATTCGCATCCTAGTTCACACTACACTAACAGAATCATTCTCATTTTAAAACTAAAAAACAGTATGAGAATGCCAAGATGGGAATACTTAGGTAAATTATAAAGAAAAGAGGTTCTTGTATCATTCATATCAAAAAACAACACTTTAATTTCAATCATGGAAAGAAAGCCTCACAGAAGGGGGGAAAATAATTACAATCGTTGATGAGAACAAAATAAAACGTATAAATTTGTACAAAGTCACCATATGTGTAGTGTGAGATTGCGCAATTCTCCAAACAGCATGTAACAAGCAAAGGATCATTAAAAATGTGACAAGGAGCAAAAATAAAAACCAACAATATGCCAATATAAATGACCACCATAATTAAAGGGATAATCTCTTTGGTTGCAGACAAAAATGACATTGCCAAGACAACTGTCATCACTGCCATGATCGGAATCAGTATGCCCTTCTCCAGAACAGATACGAAGGGAGAGGGAAACGGACGGAATCTCAATCAAGTAATAAGGAGTTCAGGAGAGGTTCTTGTAGTCGTTGTTGGTTGCTCCTTCCCTTGCTCCTGTAGACGTAACCATGTCTCCCCAAGTGCCTTTGCGAAGTGATCATCAACTGCAAGGAAGAAAGAGGCATTGAACATTTCATTCATCTCCTCGCATCCAGCCAAACAATACCAACATACCTGTAACATAATCTAGCATTAAGACCACTGACTGTCACATCAGTATAACCATAAGATACATGTGGCACCCATAAAGGTGCACATAAGTGTATCAGTAGCATACTTATCTGATTCCAAATGAAACTGCCTTTCTCTGAGATTGATTTTTGCAATATGATGGCCATGGTAAATGCTGGATGTGAAGAACTTCCTTTGGCATTAATTTCAATTTATTGGGTATGCAAAGTTACTCCTACACATGATTCAAGGCATCATAATTCTATTTTGACAGCATTGTCATCTGGCAGCAGACAGGGCTACAAATGACATTTCCTTCATCTGGTTGGGAATGTTAATTTCTTTTGCCACTCACAAGTTTTGCTCTCGTTCTCAAAACTCAATTCACAATTCACTAGCATTTGCAGTTAAAAAAGGCAAATTCTTGGTCTCAGACCAAGAATTAGGGTAAAGGAGATAGATAAATAAATGTCTGAGAAGACTTGTCATATGCAATTTGTGCCCCATTTCCAAGTTAGTAGTGAATTCATTGATCTGAAAATTCACAACCAATTAATATTTTGACTTATCAGAATCTATAAATTTACAAACTGCCTGTAAATTCAAAGAACTCTATTGTGAATTAGTCCTCAGTACTCTGGATTACATATCTTACTAAAAATGTTTCAATTAATAGATAACTAAACAGTTCCATGTCTACCAGCAAACAGCAACACACTCAAGTAGTTGAGGGGAGGGAAGACAGTACAAGTGGAATCTTCCAAAGAAAACTTCCAAAGCAATTTTAAAAGGAGGAGAGTCTTACCAAAGTCCCCCGATGTGGAAGAAACCACTGGAGAGGAGGAGGAGGATGATGAATTTCCCTTTTTGTGGGAAGAGAATACATGTTGGTATTTAGAACCCAAGGAGCGACGGAAATGCTCATCTATCACTGGATCACAGCACTCACTCCCTCCTTCAACTGTAAAACAAAGAAATGCCATGTAAGAAAGACAAGAAACCTGTGAGACCGCTTTATACTAGTTAAAATTCCTGACTTGTTTGCCAGCCAGGAATGTAAGCCTACAAAGTATCTGAATCGCATGACTTTTAGTAAGCCTTAAAAATTAGCATAGCTACAGAAAATTCCACATCACTGCAGCATTTTAATTCTTAGTTTTTTTCAGCAGGGCATGAATACCTGACATTAAGACTATTAGTGTGCAAGTAGCAGAATCACACATACAAGAATTTGCATGTCTAGAAGACATACAAAATCCTGAATACAAAAAAAAATTTTTTACTTGATTAAAAAACACCTCAGCTGAGGTGTCACCCCAGGATCCTTCCTGATAAATGCTCTTCATGCAATGCTTCATAATGAAAACTCACTGTGTGATGCATGATTATTTCTTAACATGACATAAAACAATGCTCTAATTCAAGGGTGCACAACATACGGCCCGCGAAAACCTTGCCCGCGGCCCGCCATGACTGGTGGCGCAGTAAATGCTACTATGGCTCCTGCCCAATTCGCAAAAGCTATGGTTAACCAGACTAGCAGAAGGTGGGTGGTCCGACGGCCGTACGGCCCGCTGTATGTTAGTAAAAAACGTAAATGGCCCTCCATGTTTTTTTTAATTGTGCGCCCCTGCTCTAAATGCAACACGATAAGCCTACGTCATTAACGGACACGGTGAATTCCAGCATTCCCTGATGCATACAACCGAATGACTGCCAGTTAAAATCAATAAATCTGCTGAAGAATTTCTTTCGAACTATGGGCATCAAATATTTTTAGGTGTACCTGTCACACCGATGTCCACAATGGCCGATCTCACACCCATCGGTCAGTGCCGACTGTGACATGTAGAGAAAAAGCGCATAACTACATCAGGCCTAATAAGAATTCATTATACTTTTTTCGTACGGCTTCACGGTGGCTGTTTTTAAACCGTCAGTGTATCAACCTGAACTATAGATAATTCACCAATGCACCGTGTGACATCACGATGGCTAATAGAGCCGTCGATGCATCCAACTATAACAATGGCAGCAACAAATCGATGAATGCATTGACACTCCTACTTTTTCCCCACTGATTTTGAAAATCATTTACCGAGCTTCGTTCAAGAGTTTCTTCTTTTTCTTCGCTTGGCATGTTCGGGTATCGGCATCGCCAGCCTACAGATGGCTTTGAACCCAATGGTGCCACACCGGCGGTGGCCGATGCATCGGTACTGCCCTAATATTTTTCATTCTCATAAATATGACTTCCCAATATCTTAGTCAGACTTTTATCAAGTAAAATCAGAAAAATATCTCCCCAGCATCGCGATGTGGTGGTGCTTCCATAAACCAGATCCGATGTGATGGGTTGACAGGGAGACGCCCGGAAGGTACACGCAATGTGAATATGCAGGGCACATCAAAGGTCTGTATGGAAAATTTCCCGATCGTAAACAGGGGCCATGCACCTGTAGTTCCCTCTCTCAAGTCATCCGGATCAACAGCAATAAAGGCTGAAAGGCCGCCCCTCATCCTCAGGCAAAGAAAACAAACCCTCAACCCCCCCCCCTCTTCCAGTGGTGCGCAGTGGCATTGCAGTTGAGGCTCGAGAAAGCCATAGGAAAGGGAAACAGACAAAGGAGGGAGAATTGCATGACGAGGAGATCGATGCAAAATGAGAGGGAGGGAAAAGGTCGCGTGACAGAATAACCCATGATAACCCACTTCCTGACCAGCGGGGGTAGGGAATGAAGAGACTTGAGAGAAGAGGATCCGGCAACACTGCGAACCACCCTTCGCCCCCGGCGAGGTCGTTCCTTCCCTCCCATCCCATTTCTCCCTCCACAGTCGCGAAGGACTGATACGAATCCCTCTTTGCTCTTTCTTCTCCCTCTCCCCCCCTCTCCTAATTGAGTGTTGGTCACTAGGGCAGAAAAGTGAGAGGGAATAATACTTTCTTCCCCCCCCCCCCCCCCCCCCCCCCCCATCATGGCATGACTCGTTCCATTTTGCTCATGTTAATCTACAGCGGACAGGCGAGATCGTGCTGCTAATACTGTTTTTATGTTCTGCCATAAAACATTACCGGTTCTGGGATGTACGTTTCCGGCACCAAGGGAATGCAGCGGAAGGTGCATTTCCTCTCAAGCTGAAACCGGAAGAATTAGCAGCCAAAGCACCAGGCGTGCGCACGCTCGAAAAACCGGAAACCTGCCAGCCCTAGTCTGGACTCCGCGTGGAAAGGTTTCAATGCGGGAGCAGGGGCGAAATTCATGGGCAGGCTCAAATATATATGTAATCGGAGGCCGCCCTTTTGGCGTAGTTCAGGCCAGTTCGTTCTTCCTTTCAAGGTGCATGTTTCCAGTATGAGAAAAAGTCAAATTTTCTAGTTTGAACTAATCACGACACCTGCACTCATGGGAACTAAGGTCATTATTATTATTATAAGGAATAACCATTTCGCAAGAATTCCAGTTTTGTCGAATGTCGAAAAGCTCGAATGACAATCATGTATATGACTACATTAATTGTAAATGTGCTTCTCAAATTCATTGGCTCATAATCTCTACAGGCCTTACAATGGCTTCAGAATGAGTCTACATGCAATCTGTGGTAAAGAAAATAATCAGTAGGATCTCATGACCATTACTTTCTTTGGACCTACTGGCAGAGAGAAATATATATATTTCATGAAATTCTGTCACTTCATATATTTTGGGTGCCATTATGTTGTCTATGTGGTGATTATAGTTGTACAAGGCATCCAAGAAAAATGACTTCATCCCATGGTCAATGCAAATACTACAAGAAGGTGCCACAGCAGTAAACAGCAGCATATCATCTCAATACAACTGCATGGATATACAGCAGACAACAAAGAATCTGATGTAAAATGAACAAAAACTCACTGGAAGTGAAGACCTCGCGTTTGGGAGGAGGAGGGGGAGGAGGAGGTGTCATTGTGTCGGAGGATGAGATTCGCATTCCTCCGACAGATTCACTGGCATCTTCCTCGGAGGAAGAACACGAGGATAGGTGGTGGTGGTGGTCATGATACTGAGGAGGGCTCATGCTCTTCCGAGAGGATGCACAAGTCATGATCACCGATGGACGGTCCACTGCACTCGTTTCCACACACTCGTCACTGCTGTTCCGGTTACTTGTACTGACATCCTCATCCTCACTCACTCGCTGCTTTACTCTCATGTCCAATGGTCCATCTTCACTCACAGATGGAATGCTTGAATAACTCCCATGTGAGTGACGGAAGCCCCTTTCCCTATGGTAAAATAATAGTCATTCCTTCATTCCAAGATATCCTGAAATAGCCCATTCCTGAGCATTAAGGTTAAAGCCAGTGTTAAGTTGAATTATTTTCTTCCTTTGGTAAAACAGTCTGTTGTTCTTGTGAATAAAAGGAGCAAATGTGAAAAAGCACAAGGTTGCATTCTCATCAAATAAACATTACTACCATAAGCCATGAGTAACACTATCTTTCATTTTTTAGATCTACATCCACAGAGGAACATTTCTCATGAAAGATATGTGCCATGTTGTCAAGCAATCTTAAGAGTCATCTGTGTATTTAGTTCAATAATACTCTCCATAACACCTGTCAAATTCCCAAGAACACATGTTCATAACATAGTACCTTCTTACAATAGGCTCTCTAAATCTTATGCAGGTCAGAGGTTTGAGTTTTGTCAAATCTTGACAAAACTCAAGCTTCAATGTATTTTTACTCAATTATGAAGTCTTACACAGGCGAAGTAAATGTGTAACAATGCCATTGATACAGATTCACCTGACCCAGATCCTTCTTCAATAAAAAAACAATATAAAGGGCTATTTGACCCTTACCTGGAAGCAGGTGGGATATGATGATGAACTCCACTTCTCCCAGGACCAAGTGGCTCCAACTGTCGCTCCTGCATTCTTCTTACTTTCCAGATTCTGCTAGGTAAATCCTTCCTCTCTTCAGTCTGACCCTCTTTCTTTTCTGAAAGAAACAAATTATCTACATGTTATGTATGTTCACCATTCAATTGATATTGGATTCTTTTAATGCTGAAAATGCTCAGTTAAAGCCATTTGACATTTTGTAGAACAAAATGTACCAGTTTCTACAACAAATGTTCACATTTTACAGAGAAGTGGAGTTGTTATGACAAGAAATACCATCAGATTACTTTTAACACACTACAACAAATCTGTCTCATAGATGCTTTCTACAATTGTATTCAAAAGAATGCCTAGTCACTTAGGATATGTTCCAGGCTTGTACAAACGGCTTAACTCCTGATTACATATCCTCTGTTCCTCAGTCATATTGTGTGCCTACGCAGATGAAGTACAAAACAGGATCTCGATAGAAAGCTGGAAATAATCACTCTGACAACGGGAACAGTTGGTGGTTTGATTCAAAAGACATGATACTTATAAGAAGTTGAACCAGAAACTGGAGATATTTTGATTAATTGGCATTGACCTTTGCCTATTTCTCTTATTAAGTTCAACTTTCCTTCCTGTTCACAAGAAAATCCCCCAAGAATGACAGGAGTGACCATTTATAGAGCTTGGAAAACAGGTATTCACAAGGATAATCTGTCACACTAAACATAAGAATGTTGAAACCCAATCTATGCCAGTATGCAAGAAAGGTTCTCCTGCAACAGGAACTACTAGAAATGGGCTTCAATAAAAGTTATTTTAGCAGATTAATAGATAAAAGCAGCTCTCCTGCTTCATTGTCATGAGTTCAGGTAACTAGTCATCATAATAGGCCATAAAAGCTGATATCATGCTTCTCCTGCATGCATCAGATGGAATCAACCCTTCATTAAGTGCATACTGCTCTCATGGCAGTCCAGAGGGAAGGATTCATTAATGAAAAATAACCTGACTCCAAATGGAAGATTCTACACATTCCTAAGTCTATAAGCTTATATCCTTAAAACATGTCAGAGGAAAAAGTTTTTATCTTCTTGACAGGCCTACTTATGATTGGTTCTCCTGTTTTGGAACAAAAAGGTCAAAGACATCTTATTATTCCTTTACAGTCCACTAACCATTGTGGGATAACAGAACAATTACCATATAATAGCTACATTCAGTTCATAACTTCCACAAGTCATCAAACTGAATTGAAAAAAAAAGCAAGACACTGACTATGCATTTCCTCTGCTGACCTCCAGCGTTTCCAAAGTATCAAACTGTACTTAGGGCTAAAAACATACCCAGGATTAAACTTTCAGATCCAAAGAAGTCCAACAAATAGTTCAAATATTTGGTCATAAACCTAGCCATCTTGTTCAAAATCCCTATGGATGGTAGTAGACAATGTACAGTTGGCCTAAGCATAGGCTCATGAGCACTTCCCAAACCAGTACCATACCTTGAAAATTCCATGGTTGCCAGACTCGAGGCTTGTCACTCTCAACAGCTGCCAGAGTTGTGTCTGAGTTGCTAGTGCTGCTAGCATCACATGGACCCTGTTCACCTTCATGGCTCATCACTTTTAAACAGCAAGTGGCTACACCCTATTGTAGCTCTTATAATAATGTCTTGTGTTCTGCCTGTGACATAGGTATAAAGCTATTAAAGTTTTGTTTAAAGCTTTCTCATGAGAAATAAAGCTACATGGTGAACAATTTATTTAGATTAGCTCATAATCCTATCAGGATTTTAGCAAAACACTATGGGCCAACTTTGGCTATACTTGTCTGGGGAACCAATCGACCTTGCCTAAACTAGCATCCTGTCCATTTATAACGGTTCACTTTAAGCCAGAATGTCAAACTTTAATCTGGTTAATTGAGGGATCCCATGTAACCCTAGTGAAATGCAAGGTAGTGCTCAAGGAGCTATAATCACAAGGAAAGCCAGTGTAGTCTATTCTGTGTCTGATTCCAGGTTATTACAGTCTAGGCATTTAGACCTAACGACTGCTGAACTGTGTTTCTTTGTCTCCACTGATCTTGCCTCCGAAATTGCTTGGCAAAGCATGCTTCTGTGGCAATTTCATTTTGGCTTCTAAATATTTGTCACAGCTATTCAAATAAATTTCTACTGAGAATAAATAAAACTAACGAAATCGTAATGAAAGGAATAACTGATTTGGTTAAATGGGCCTAAACGTGCTTGAAACCCTTTGAGAAAATACGTTGAGCAGTTCAAATCTATCTTTTGTGGTCAAATTAGCTTTTAGCTATCTGAGTCTACCTACGCCTGTGGTGATAACCAGTAAAAACTGCTGGCTTTAAAATGGTCAAAAACCTGTAGCAACTCTGTACCTAAAGGACTAGGATTAGGACTATCCGCAGACTAACGGTTACACCAGGCATAACACAGGCCCAGAACGTCGTTCTTCAATGCTTCAAGGCATGACAGGTTCGTTGAGCACCAAGACAATGACACGATGGCGTAGGCTAAGCTATGATAGTCCTTGATCTACACCTTCGCGTAGCGCGACAACATGAATGAGGCTCCTAGGAAGTCTAGACCTAGGGTTCTAGGCTATCGCGAATAGGAGCAAGACGGGAGGTTCATAACCCGAGGAGCGCCGACTGCCGAGATGGTCGTGACTCGTGAAAGAAGCGCAGGGATCTGATTGGTAGGTGGCACACGCGGGAGCCTCTCCCCCTCCTACCGAGTCCTCATCGGGCCCTCCGTCTCCGACGCCCTCCTTCTCCGTATCTGCAGCTCCACCTCGCACCCTCTATTTGTACTGCGACCACCTCGCGTCTTATCGTAATGAACGCGCCATGAATGGCGGCATCACCCGTTTCGTGACGTGAAGTGCGCGTGAGTCATCGCATCACGGACCAGGTGATAAGAAGGTCAAGTGAATACACGCGTATCCGTGAGTCGACGCGAGACGGGTAACGTGTAACCTTCGAGATCGCGAGATACTATCATTGAAAGGCGCCCACGAAAAAAAAAAAACAAATAAAAATCGGGAAATTATACTGGAAGGCCACCCAGTCATTTTCTCCGAGGCAATCTCATGAGTCCCGCGAACAGGAATTCCGGGAAAACAACACAGAGCACAATTGAACCATTCAACAGACTCCAGTAGCGAACAGTCAAATCCATTAATAATTCTTCACAACCAAATGAAAACGGTGAAACCTCTTCCAATCATTTCCATAAACGGGTATAAAACTTATTATATCATAATATTATAACATTACATCATACTATACTATACTATACTATACTTCCATCATTCCACGCATCTTCGTCTTCTTCGAATATTAACTCGGGATCGCTATCGAACCGACGATCACATTCGCCGCCTCCCGAAGGAACACGAACACTTTCACACAACAAAAACGCGAGCGGCAAAAGAAGCCAAACTCGCCTCAACAGAAATCCAGGAGATAAAATAATCTGACCCAGCAAGCCGACGAGACAAAGGAAAAGCTCGAGGCAACGAGAACCTGAGAACTATTAAGCTGCTCCTGCACTAATGGTAAACATTAAGCAAACATTAAGCGAATTGAACGAGGGAAAACCCGAAGACGCACGCCGTTTCTCTTTCGGGTGCGAAAAACGCATCACGACTGACGAGAAATCGCGAAGACCTCAGAAATTTGTTTCTTTCGAGTCCATTCCCCCCCCCCCCCCCCCCCCCTTCCCCCCCAATCGCATTCATCGAAATCGGCCAATGCCCGATTCGGCACGGGCCTGGGGCCTCGCTCGCAAGACACGGCATATCACTAACCCCCAACAAGCTCGACCGAACCCGGCAGTTCCACTCGAACGAGGACCTGTTCGAGGCCGAACCCCAATTGTAAGCCTCTAAGGCTCACGTTTACCGCTGGA